TGACACTGTCGCACCCCTACGCCCGGTAGGATTCTTAACACATACAATCTTCTTTGCCATGCAAAACACTCTTCACAATACTTGAACAATAGGCACATCTCCTAGCTTCCGAGTGATCAATCATGATGACTCTAATTTTTGGGGGTCTCTGAGATATTGGTATGTATTGACGTAGGTTGGGTGGTAAAATAGTACACGCGCCAACAGTTTCTGCACATATACAGCTATACTAGCGTGATATGACATATTCACCACCCCCACTTATGGCCATGGGGGTTAAAGGACCGCTAGGCGCAGAACTTCCCAGATGTCGGAGTTCCAGTGAGCACTTATATCCCGGGTGAATATTCGTAACCGCCCCCATGACCAGGATCAAAAAAACGGGAGAAAACAGCTTCTGACGCGGGGCAATCAGGGCGAACTGAACCAATCCCGGTAGCTCCGTTCGATAAGAGCTAGTCTGCCACATCTTCAACTCGGTTAGCTTCGATATCATCGAGCGGTGTCCGCAATGCTCCCACACCCTTCCAAGCACTACTAACCCCTCGAGATGCTTGGCTAACCCTCCCTTTCCGGTATTCAGCAAAAGAACCGCGATAAATGTCCGCAATGTCGCAATTGCCAAATCCAGAGATAGTTACTACATGTGCCTATGCTTTGATGTCGCAGTGAATACCTATTGCCCTTGCGGTGTAAAGAAGGTTACGAGAGTTCTAGGGACCCGACTGCATATTATGGACAGAGGCCAATAGATAAAAAAATTAAAAAAAATGCGCGCACGGTGGGGGAACATCCAGGGAGGCCGCAGTAAAAGCCGCCTCACCAATAATCGCTTCAAGCTTCGACAGCGGACGGCTGTATTATCGGTAGGGACCGACCGAGAATTTGTTCTGGAAGAGAACCTCGTTGGTTTCACGCGAAAACAACGTGCTTTGGCAGAGCAGAAGGGGTTTCTTAATTTATATAGGAGTGGGGCCGGCCGAAGTGTTAAGGCCGTGAGTGAAGAAAATACTGGGACAACACACGCTTTACACCAAAGTAGGCAGTTTTCGCATATCAATATCAACATAGAGTTTGGCATTGGGGTGAAAATAAGTTCATGCATCTATCCTATTGCTTCTCCACTTTACTTCTCCACCTTTTGGGAATGTGGATATCATTTCCACTTCACCAGTTAAGCTAAGTATGCCTGGAACTTGAAACATTCCAGTTTCCACACCCAATAATCTCTGTCTACCCGGGCTGCAGGGGGTAAATTGGAACCCAACACTTATAGTTGGAGAATCATTTGGCAAGAACTTTCTAAAACCTCTGTAGGTAATGCCCTGTGCCAATTAAAGCTATCTATCCAGTGGTCCGAATTTAACATATTTTGGGGTAGTTGATGATTATTCCGAATACGCCGTTTTTTGGTGGGGAATGCCGTTGTCCCATCATTTTCTTCACTCGTCTGGCCAGGCCGAAATAGTTCCGAACCCAGAGTAATAAAGCCACTAATTATGTCATATACGGAATAGTTGTTTTCCTACTTGGGGGTTTTTTTTAACCGAGGAGATTTTTGGTGTAAATGCCAGGGGCTTGCCAAGAAATGAGCCACCCTTGTACGAAGGACGAGCACCCCCCCCAACTGCTCCCTTTTGTCCAGAGGGAAGCGATCTTACTTTCATCGGTAAAACCGAATCATCGCTTCCCGAGCAAAAAAGTGCACGCGCGAACCGAAACATCGCTTAAATAATGCAACGCGTAGAGCTCTGAGTTTGCTCCCTCTTTCTCCTATCTTCCCACCATCATCCCGTTCTCCATCTACCAGAAATACTCGGTATGACTACCCCCCAACCGGCCAGCTCCCCTAAGCCATCCTTCGGCTATGCCAAGGCAGGAAGACCTCGCAAGCGCCCCCACCCCAATCAGAGGGAGGGAGTTTGCCCTGTTAAGGAATGCCAACGTAGTTTCACGCACCGGTACGTGTTTGCCCTATCCATTTTTCTGTATGGAAATTCTGACACTACGGGTAGCCTCAATCCCAAGCAAGCCGTCTGGCAACATTTGGGCTACTACCTAAGTCCTCTGCATGCATTTTTCCCCACCTCCGAAGCGCATATCCAAATGCATGAACAAATGAAAGCGGAATCGGCCAGCATGAGACTTTCGGGTGAGTGCACGTCGTTCGGTGGACCCCTTTTTGGTCTAACTCGAGATAATCCTAGAGAACGAGAAGAGAGAGCGGCAGAAGGAAAGTAAGAAAAAGTGGGTGGAAAAGAATAAGGAAAAGAGAGCTCTTTCCCTGAAAAAGTCAAATCTCAGAAAGAAAGCAAAGAAAGAGTTGAAGAAGGAGGGAAAGGAGCTGACGAAACAGGCTGTGGAGGAATTGGTGGAAAAATGGCATGCACAGGAGTAAAGCCGGGGAACAGGAAATCGAAATTTCATGCTCAAATCGTATGAAGCAAAAATGTATCATTTAGGTTAGGAGAGTGCTTGTTTGATAATAATAAAAAATTAAATACGAAATGTTCCCCGCGCGGGTACGGTAGCTGCTTAAACCAGAAGGCCGTTGGTCCGGGGCAGAATACTACCCGACCGGCACCACTCCCCACAGGAAGAGATAACCCAGTTGACGCGATGAATACCAGAATCGCTTTCATACCAGTATGAAAAGATTTATTCGATGGGCACAGGCGCCGCTACGTGGATTTTTTACCTCTGGATTTCTATCCTTTGCATACCGCCGTATCTAGTACCTGTTGAGGCTACATCACTCGCCGCAACATCCAGGAGGCCCGACGTAGTACCAAGCACAAGGAAGCGGAATCAGGAGAGAGGAGCGAGACCGACTAATTATTGGGGGGATATGCGATGGTTGGAAAACGCTCACGGCCGCCATGAGGCTACGGTACCATACCGACCGCTATAAGGAAAGGCCACGATAGTCTACCAGTACTACCGGTATCCATAAACCGTCGCGCTCAGACAGTGCGCGATCCGCCGAGATCCTACAACCCTAACCCCACCCCCACCCTCCCTAAAATCCCCCACGGCAAAAAATAAAAAAAGACTCTTGGCACCCAAATACCGCCCCCACTTCGCCACTATCCTCTTCTTCGGTCTCAATACGGTACCGGTAGAATTCGTACGACCGTTAATTTACGGAGGAGCTCTGAGCCTGTGACGACAGCCGGAGCGCCTACCCTCCGGTCGCGTCCCGGCTCCCACGCGTAGTATTCACCGTTGCTTCTGAGCATAGTAACAGGCTTCCCAAAAGTTCCTGACCGGTAACATACGAGTACTTTAGACGTTAGGCTCTGTTCCACCATGGCCCGTCCATCACGAGCCGTTGTAGACGGGTGGCGCACGGCACAGTACTCGTACTCGTACTCATACGCAACGAGGAAGTTGGCTACTAGAAACCACCGGAAATCCAGACTTAAACAAAATCGTTTTTCCACCACCGCAACGACAAGAAGTGAAAGTAGAAACGGAGGTTCAAATAATTCATCCATGGAGAGAAATTCGGAATTATTACTTCTACAAGTAGATCTTCCGAGGTATCTTACGTAATCCATCGGAGGGCTGCACAGTTTGCTGTTCTTTAATAACATCCCTACTGTATCGCACAAGCTGGATGCGCGGCAGGTTTATTCTCCTGCGTCATGAGAACCCGCATTTTTAAGCAGCGGTAGTAGTACTCGGGGGTGTATGAAAGTGTTTAACATTTCGTGACACAGTGTGGTACCATGTAGCAAAAGTATGAAGGTATAGTGACGTTTTGAAATAGCAGATCACTTGTCCAGAGCAACAATTCTGCAGTCATGAAAATACAAGAAACATACAGCAATTACCCCCAAAGCATTTATTGAAAAGAAACCACCTGTAATGAATGTCTTTTTTTTTTGAATGGGCTGCAAAAACGGCATAGGCAATGGCAAACAAACAGGGGTCTATGGCAATGGGCCAATCAGATAACTAGCCCAGTAACTGGCTGTGAAATGAAACAATGTCAAGCTCACTCACATCCAGGGATTGCACAACTCACAAAAACAACTTTTTTCTCTCTCTTCCCCCCTCACTATCACATGCAGAACTAACTAAGAGCTAAGGCAGGAGAATATATCAACTACAAGTGACGATATAGTCTCTACCCCCCCTTCCAGGTAAGTCCCCCATATACTCACAAACAAGAAAAGCTAAAAAAGACAAAAGACAAACTTGTACTCCTGCCATGCACCCATATGCTGCACTTTTCCATTGCACTCTACTACCGCATACCTTCTGTAAAGATTGCTCTCTATAATATTGTATCAACAGGGAACAAACAGCATGTAGCACATTATTGTGTCTTTCAAGTTAACAGTTCTTAACCTCTATTAAAATTATGTGCTCATAAGTGCAAGTATGCCCATAGAGACATATGAGGTAGCAGGATTGCATAATGTGGTTGCATGGTCAAGTATAAAGAAGATATTTGTAGAACATCTAGTAGTGACTATGTTATACTTAGACAGCGTAATCGGTGCGGCACGTGACTAAATGCATAAGGTCACGTGTTCGACTCCGGGCCCCGTCGCAATTATCATTACGTCAATTAATTTGACGAAAGATAAGACAACTGAACCATACATCGGCCGTCGGAGCAGAGGACATACATACCTCTCTCCGCGGAGATGTAAGATAAGCGACCGAGGGGTTTTCGCTGGATAACATGGAAGGAGCTCCGCTCTATAAGATAAGACTTATTTGAACCAGATTGGTCGGTTAGTTATTGAGCTATGACCTCTGGAAGTCTTAGTGCGCTATTCCGAGAAAGTAGCCGCACCATCCTCTGCTCACGTATAACTAGAGTCATCCGGAGACTAGTTTACGATTGGTTAATAACAACTCATTTGTCGGGTTGGTTATCTTCGTCATGCACTCTAAGCTATGCACATAGAAGAGTCATTGATAAGTCCTTTGAACGGAGCTGATCACTCCACTTAGGAAGAGAGCGGGGACGTTAGTTTTCAGGGTCAAACGGAGTGCCCACTCTGAAGACACTGAATCGTTAGTATGGCAGGTACATAGTCAGTAAGGAATTGGATGTAGAGCGCGACCACCCAGACGCGCTTCCTATAAATATCGAGGTGCCTCCCGAGCTTTTAGTCTATCATCAGCGACCGGAGAAGAGATCTTATCAATATATTCGTTCTACTTTACTTCTATCTTTACGAGCCTTCTTGACTATCTCCGAGACAGAAGAATACAGGGCCTAGTGTATACTCGCTTGACTTTAGAGTTACCTACCCCCTAACAGACTACTATATCAGCAAAAATAAATCCTGCATCAGACGCGTGGGCAGTGTGTCCTAATACAAGCAGAAAGGATTCTGCATCCAGTGTGTCCTATGTATCTGGTACTTGGGTGCCAAGTCTGGTTGTATTTTGTGTATCCTAGTACTCATACCAGGAAGTACCATGTCCAGATTGTATTCTAAGTAACCTACTAGTCCTCCATCCTACCAGCCCCACTTCCTACCACCCCACCCCCTGCCAGGTCCTCCCCCTACTAGTGTCCTACATACCACCTCTCCTGCATTCTGGACTTTGTTGTTTTCTTTACCAGTGTCTGCTGTACTAGAACCAGTAGGAAAGGTTTTTTGATGGCCAATTCCGCAGAAACCTTCTGGGCATAGCTTTCAATACTCGGTGTCCTAATTTTACTTGACGACAGCTTATCAATGGTGTATTGAACGTCTAGGTAACGCCAGTATTGGTAGAGTTACAGCCTATTATGAAAGTAGTATTTATCTAGGCAGGGTTCTAGTAGAGGGCTGACTTTGACGCCAGATGCCGTGGGCGCCCTTTAAGAGTAGCATCTGATACACGATGGCCTATTTGTACTTGATACTAGCTTTCTAATGGTACCTTAAACATCTGCCTGGCATCGATATTGGTCGAGCTAGAGCCTGTTATGAAAGTAGTCTTTACCTTGGCAGAGTTTTAGCTAAGTGCCAGCAGAGTGCTGACTTTGACACCAGATTCCTCAGGCCGTCTTTAGGCATGGTATCTGATACTTGAAACCCTGATTGTACTCCATGCCGGCTTTCTACTAATAGTATGTTGGACATCTGCTTGGTGGCAATATTGGTGAAGCTACAGCCTGTTATGAAAGTGGTTATTACACTGGTGGAGTTCTGGTAAAGTGCTAGCAGAGTGCTGATTTTGATGCCAGATTCCTCAGGTATCCTTGGGGCACGGCATCTGATACTTGACAGCTTGATTCTACCTGATACCAACTTTCTAATAGTGCCTTGAATGTCTACCTAGCATCAATATTGGTAGAGCTACAGCCTGTTATTAAAGTGATCTTTACCCTGGTAGAGTTCAAGTACAGTACTAGTAGAGTGCTGAGTTTGGCACCAGATTCCACGGGAGTCCTTCTGGTGTGGCATCTGATAATCGGCAACCTAATCCTACTCAATGCCAGCTTTCTAATAGTACCCCAGATGTCTGTCCAGTATCAATATTGAAGGAGCTACAGCCTGCTATAAAAATAGTCTTTACCCTAGTAGAGTTCTGGTAGAGTGCTAAATTTCATGGCAGATTCCTTGGGCATCCTTTTGGGGCAGCATCTGATACTTAACAGGGTAGTTCTACTCGACACCAGCTTTTTAACGGTATCTCAGACGTCTGCTCAGCATCAATATCAGTGCAGCTACAGCCTGTTATAAAAGTGGTCTTTACCCTAAGGGAGTTCTAGCTGAGTGCTGGCCGAGTGCTGACTTTGACGTCAGATTCTGCAGGCCTCCTTTAGGCCCGGTATCCAATACTCAATGGCCTGATTCTACTCGATGCCAGCTTTGTAATGGTGCCTCGGATGCCTACCCATCATCAATGTTGATAGAGCTACAGCCTGTTATGAGACTGGACTTTACTCGAGTAGAGTTCTGCCAGAGTACAGTCGTGTCTGAAAAGTCTACGTACCCTGCTTGGCAACGCCACAACCACCGATCACCTCAACATCACCCCCCCCACTATGGCACCACCACATTCCAAACCCCTCAGAGAAGACTAGAAGAAGGAAATATATACCCTATATAAACATACTGATATGGGGTATGGTAAAATTTCAAAGCTTATGAACCTCTCCAAGTCAACTGTTCAAACAGTGGTCAAAAATGCAAAATCCAGAGATGGAAACACCCTTGATGCCCCCAGAGCTGGCAGACCAACCAAGATTACTGATGCCAAAAGGCAGGTAATTCTTGATATTATTGATGCTGAGCCTCATCTTGCACTAAGAGACATCACCCAAAAAGCCAACATTGGACTTGGCAAAGACACTGTTAGCAAGATATCTGGAGAAGCTGGTTTTAAGCTCAGGATACCTAGGAAAAAGCCTTTTTGGAGAAAAGGACAGAAGGAGAAGAGAAAGGAGTTTGCCAGAGTGAGGAGGCACTGGACAAGAGCCTGGAAATGGGTGGTTTTTGTGGATGAAGCCACAATTGAATATGATCCAAATCCAGTTAGAAGGAAGGTCAGGCTTAGACCAGGTAAAGAGTTGGAAGAAAAGAACTTAAAGCCTAGCTTTAAGTCAGGACGCACAAACATAGGTGTATATGCTGCAATGATGCATGGGGGGAGGACTGAGCTCATTCTTGTAAAAAAGAGAACTGAGGAGGAAAGGACTAGCAAAAGAGATAGGCTTGGTCTCAATGGTCACCAATATGCAACTGAGATTCACCAGCCATACCTCATCCCCTTCATAGAAGGTATAAACAGAGCTCCTGAAACCATCTATATGGCTGCTGATAATGCATCATGGCATAATGGGTTGGAAAACAAAAAATTGCAAGAGGACCGTGGATATCAAAGATTGGCTTGGCCTCCCAACTCACCAGATCTCAACCCTATTGAGAATGCCTGG